CCCCAAAACCCCAAAACCCCAAAACCCCAAAACCCCTAAAATTATAAATTATATTGAACCTCAATAATTAAAATATGTTTGCTCGCAGATTTCTCAAAAATATCATCCCAAAAAGACAGTTACCTCAACTCCAACAGAAATACTGAATCTGGCCAGCCAGAAACATGATGCACAGACCTTCATACAACTTGTAATACTCAAAATAATATCTAGATTTTGTACAAAGAACAGTCCAGTAGTGTCTCCTGAAGCTCCTGTTCAGGAGAAATCTGAATTTAAGAGTAAAATTCAGAGTTGGGACAGGAACAAGACTGCAGAAATTGACGAAGAAATCCGAGAAGCTAATGAACTCCTGATATTAGCTTCATCAAAGCTTGTTAAGGCTGTCGATATTCTCGAGCTCTTATCAATACTAAGGATTTACTCTGTCTACCAAGTTGGTGATGACAAGTTTTATAAAAAGCTACATAACACCACACTTTACAAACTCAACTTTATGAGACCTGATCAAATAGTGTCCAGCTTCATGTGACTGGCAAATGTGCATCGGAATCCGAAGATTAATGTGGATTTTAGTAAGTTTATGAACATGGCTCTGTACAAGATTCTCAAGTCAGCTTATTCTCTCAAGCCTGAAGATATTGCAGGCGTAGTGTATAACATCGGGAGAAGCAAACTTGGTACCCAAAAGATCCTCAGAAGTTATAAGAAAATCATTATGCAGAAAATACAAACTTATAACCCGAAAGAATGATACAAAGTGCTCACTGGTTGGCTACAAAGTGGATTTTTGTTGAAAGAAGACCAGGAATTTCTTAATCAACTCCTTATTTGAATCCTCGGAGATCTGAAATCTATCTCAAATGAGTTCCTCACAGAGCTGTATTATACCTTATATGGTAGAGGAATCCCGATACTAGAATTTGAGTATCATCAAGAACTAGAAGAGGAGATATTTGAAAGATGTCATGAATTTGAATTTAAACAACTAGCTCAAGTCCTTGCAACCTATAAATTCATGGATAAGACTTTCCCAGATGAAAGATTTGAAAGGGCATTAGAAGACTTCCTTGAGAAACTTATTCCAGACGAAGTTCACTACCTCGTCAGGTATTTCTATAATGACAAGGTAAACCTGGGATTGAGTAAAAGAATTCAGGAAAGACTTGAAGACATCATCAGAGAGGATGCATCAGAGATGAACTCTGAAGAACTTTCAATGACTTATTCTGCTCTTTCTCTAGCTCAAAAAACCTCTCCAGAACTGTTAGAATATCTTGAAGATAATATCAAAGATTCTCAGAGCAACATGACTCTCGATTCTATTATTCATCTTCTCAACTTAAAAACACAAGGAGGTGCTGAATTTTTCAACCTCGAAAAATTAGCTGCTCCTTCTACTCTAAAGTTACTAAAGCAAAAGAACTTTGATGCTCGTGAGTACACGACAATCGTGTTGCTCTTCACAGCATTGAATTACTATGAAGAGTCATTCTGGAGGGAGGTTCTCAGTTACCTTCCTGAAGTGCAGCTTCCAGATGCAATTAGCTACATGCAGCTACATTCCTCACTTTCTGTCATTCACAAGCAGATCAACATTGAAGAAGAACTGAAGTTATTAGACATCTAGGCGTTTTCAATATATTCTTATGGGATAGGGGTTTTGGGGTTTTGGGGTTTTGGGGG